GCGCGAGTCATAAGCTCGCGTTGATTACGTCCCTGCCCTTTGTACACACCGCCCGTCGCTACTACCGATTGAATGATTTAGTGAGGTCTTCGGACTGGTACGCGGTGGGCGTTTCGGCGTCGTCGATGTTGCCGGAAAGATGACCAAACTTGATCATTTAGAGGAAGTAAAAGTCGTAACAAGGTTTCCGTAGGTGAACCTGCGGAAGGATCATTACAGTGCTTTAATTTTTGTCTTTGACAAAAAAAAGTCTTTCGTATAATGAGTAATATATTTCAACACGATACTTTACTCTTATACACTTTACTATTCATTGAACGAATTTGCCTTTTTATTATAGGCGATGATGTAGCGACGTTCGAAAAGATAATAAGGAACATTTATAGTAAGATCGAGCGCACACACGTGTATATTACCCGAACGAGGTGTTGTTGTTTGTGTGTAACACACAACCTCTTCCCTCGTCTCGTCGTGTACGCGAGTGCGTATCTTTTTTATAAATCTTATTGAAAATCTTTTCGTCGTCCCACCATCATATAATACGTATAATTTTCGAACGCACCACGCCGTATAGAGCGCTTCTAGTACGCGCGAGCGCGCGCTCGGGGTACGTTCCGACACGCGTATATCGCATAGACATAATATTGTGTTGTATGCGTATGCGTATGTACACACGTGTCTCTACGACGTCGTCGTCTGTACGGATGGCGATATTTTCGACGGGTAACTCTATATGGGAGAAGAACGGAGATATGTCGTCGTGTCCGCACGACTCATTTCCTTCTTTTCCGGTTGTTTTTAAAGATATTCGCCCGTTAGTCGAAATTTCTACGCCATACGAAAAGACGGTACAAGAGGACGACACGTGTTGTACGCTTAATACATACATATATATTCATGTTATGTACAACTCTGTTGTAGTGTTATTTGTACCCCTTGCACACGCGTATGCTATAGAAGCGCGATACGGATAGAATGCGCGCGTACACGAGAGACTTCGTCGGCACGCTCGTTTGTTATAAACGCGCAAAAATAATTTTGCGCGTTTGCCGCGCAAAATACACGAAGTCTCCGTGAGAAATGCGCGCTTTCTTTTTTTTATATATTTTCTTTAATAACATTAGCCATTATCATAACAATAAAGACGTATCGATATATATTTTATATATATAGAGATCGTCTAATTAAAAAACGATTACCCTGAACGGTGAATCACTTGGCTCGTGGGTCGATGAAGAACGCAGCTAATTGCGCGTCAACTTGTGAACTGCAGGACACATGAACATCGACATTTCGAACGCACATTGCGGTCCTCGGATACTGTTCCCGGACCACTCCTGGCTGAGGGTCGTATCAATTTAAAAGACTGCTCGGTTTCCTCTCCGATCTCTGTTCGCGTCGTCGTATTATCTCTTTATCCGAGAGACGACGACGACGACGACGACATGAGAGAGGAGAATGAAACGTCGGAGCGTGTTGGATGTAGACGCGGCGGTACGACGCGACGACGCTAGTTATTATATATTTATTTATGTAATATCGTAAACGTCGTCGTCTTTGTCGTCGTCGCGGCATCTCAAAACTCACACATAGAACGAACACGCGCGCTGTACGGATAAAAATCGTAATAGCACTACATATATATATATATATATATATATATATGTATATATGCTGTAGTCGTTACGCGTTTCGAACTTGCGCTGCGATCGTCGTGTCCGAGAGAGAAATTATTTTTTTCGAGATAACGACGTCTGATCGCATATACGCGCTAAACACTAGAGAACGCTTTCGACTAGTAGTAGTATAGCAGCAGCAGCTATACGATTTAGTATTAGCGATCGCGTGTGACATATATATCTGTGTGTGGTGTTGTGTTGTATATTGTTAACCGACCTCAGAGCAGGTGAGACTACCCGCTGAATTTAAGCATATTACTAAGCGGAGGAAAAGAAACTAACTAGGATTCCCTCAGTAGCTGCGAGCGAACAGGGAAAAGCCCAGCACCGAATCCCGCGGTCGATATCGGGCGCCGGGAAATGTGGTGTTAGGGAGGATCCGTTTATCCCGAGGTCGCGCGGCGAGTCCAAGTCCTTCTTGAACGGGGCCACAGCCCATAGAGGGTGCCAGGCCCGTAGTGGCCGCTGCCGATCGCGGGAGGATCTCTCCTCAGAGTCGGGTTGCTTGAGAGTGCAGCCCTAAGTGGGTGGTAAACTCCATCTAAGGCTAAATATGACCACGAGACCGATAGCGAACAAGTACCGTGAGGGAAAGTTGAAAAGCACTTTGAAGAGAGAGTTCAAGAGTACGTGAAACCGTTCAGGGGTAAACCTGAGAAACCCGAAAGGTCGAAAGGGGAAATTCATTCGCGTTTCGGCCGTCGGCGATGAGCGGTCGCGCGACGGACGGCGTTCGCGCGTCGTCCGCGCCTTTCGCTTTTCGATCCGGCGTCGAACGCGTGCACTTTTCCCCTAGTAGGACGTCGCGATCCGTTGGGTGTCGGTCTACGGCTCGCGGTGGAGTCCGTGTACGATCGTTTCGGCGATTCGTGCTCGAACCCGCGATGTTCCGGCCGACTCGCTCGACGGTATACAGATGGCGCGAGGCCGCTACTTCTTCAATTAGCGTCCGACCCACGACAAGCACGTTCGATGCTAAGACGGCGATCGGACCTAGCGCCCGGTTCCGTCCCCGGACGACTGTTGGTCGTGCGGATTTCTCGGACAGACCTCGTTTGAAACGCCGATCTGCGACGCTATAGCTTTGGGTAATTTCAGGACCCGTCTTGAAACACGGACCAAGGAGTCTAGCATGTGCGCGAGTCATTGGGACATAACTAAACCTAAAGGCGCAATGAAAGTAAAGATCCGCCTAGCGCGGATTTAGGGAAGATGGGCGGCACGTCTATAAAGCGGCCGCTCCGCACTCCCGGGGCGTCTCGTTCTCATTACGAGAAGAGGCGCACCAAGAGCGTACACGCTGGGACCCGAAAGATGGTGAACTATGCCTGGTCAGGACGAAGTCAGGGGAAACCCTGATGGAGGTCCGTAGCGATTCTGACGTGCAAATCGATCGTCGGAACTGGGTATAGGGGCGAAAGACTAATCGAACCATCTAGTAGCTGGTTCCCTCCGAAGTTTCCCTCAGGATAGCTGGCGCTCGTCTGTGACGAGTTTCATCCGGTAAAGCGAATGATTAGAGGCATTGGGGTCGAAACGACCTCAACCTATTCTCAAACTTTAAATGGGTGAGATCTCCGGCTTGCTCGAACTAATGAAGCTGCGAGAATCGAATCAGAGTGCCAAGTGGGCCATTTTTGGTAAGCAGAACTGGCGCTGTGGGATGAACCAAACGTCGAGTTAAAGCGCCTAAATCGACGCTTATGGGATACCATGAAAGGCGTTGGTAACTTAAGACAGCAGGACGGTGGCCATGGAAGTCGGAATCCGCCAAGGAGTGTGTAACAACTCACCTGCCGAAGTTACTAGCCCTGAAAATGGATGGCGCTGAAGCGTCGTGCTTATACTCGGCCGTCAGCGGCATGTGCGGTCTCGATCCGCGTAAAAACGGATCGGCCATGAAGCTCTGACGAGTAGGAGGGTCGCGGCGGTGCGCGCAGAAGGGCTGGCCGTGAGGCCGTCTGGAGCCGCCGTCGGTGCAGATCTTGGTGGTAGTAGCAAATACTCCAGCGAGGCCCTGGAGGACTGACGTGGAGAAGGGTTTCGTGTGAACAGCCGTTGCACACGAGTCAGTCGATCCTAAGCCCTAGGCGAAAGCCGATGTTGATGTGGCGTTGTTTTATAAATATATGTATGTATGTGTGTATATATAAAGAACACGCCCGTCGGGCGAAAGGGAATTCGGTTCCTATTCCGAAACCCGGCAGCGGAACCGTACAATAGTCGGGCCCTCGCAAGAGAGTTCGTCGGGGTAACCCAAAAAGACCCGAAGACGCCGTCGGGAGACCAGGGAAGAGTTTTCTTTTCTGCATAAGCATTCGAGTTCCATGGAATCCTCTAGCAGGGAGATATGGTTTGGAATGCGAAGAGCACCGCAGTTGCAGCGGTGTCCTGGTCTTCCCCTCGGACCTTGAAAATTCGGGAGAGGGCCACGTGGAGGTGTCGCGCCGGTTCGTACCCATATCCGCAGCAGGTCTCCAAGGTGAAGAGCCTCTAGTCGATAGAATAATGTAGGTAAGGGAAGTCGGCAAATTGGATCCGTAACTTCGGGATAAGGATTGGCTCTGAGGATCGGGGCGTGTCGGGCTTGGCGAGGAAGCGGGTCGCGGCTGACGTGCCGGGCCTGGGCGAGGTGAAACGTTCTGTCGTATGCGTTCGCGCGTGTGCGGTAGGATTGCGGATCCGAACTCGGTACCGTGCCTTGGCCTCCCGCGGAACCGTCTTGCTGCGAGGCCCAGAGTGCGCTCGCAAGGGCGTTCTGGTGTCCTCTTCGGCCGCCATTCAACGGTCAGCTCAGAACTGGCACGGACCGGGGGAATCCGACTGTCTAATTAAAACAAAGCATTGAGATGGCCCCTGCGGGTGTTGACTCAATGTGATTTCTGCCCAGTGCTCTGAATGTCAACGTGAAGAAATTCAAGCAAGCGCGGGTAAACGGCGGGAGTAACTATGACTCTATCACACCAGCTCGATTGCCCCCCGCAACGCCGGTTTCCGGCGTCAAGCCGCTAGTGCCCTTTTGGCAAGTACATCGTGTCCGACGGGGCCAAAAAGGCGTCCAATCAATCATCTACCGGCCCCAAGGACACACACCAAATCTCAGCTCCATAACTCGACAGTTAACGCCGTACTGGCCGTATTAAGTGCGGCCAGGTATCAGGAGACCAGGAGCTGGGAGGAGGTAGTTCCGGAGATAAAATCTTTCACACGCGATATCTCCGGAACCAGACCACGTAGCGGCAAACGGTCTTCACTCCCATACGCGGAAAGGACAGTACTTTAATCTACCCAAAGACACTCAACAACAGCGGCGCATGCGCAATGGCGGATTCCAAGAGGAAGACATTTAAAACCGCTGTTGCGGCAGAGAGAGTTAGAACACGTGACATGACGTCACGTCACCCCACCCGCAAGAGGAAATTCGATATAAATGAGGGGGAACCAGTTAAATCCCCTCCAGCGGGTGGAAAATCGACTGCCGGTGGCCCAACAGCCACCGGAACCAAATTGGCAGGCTCGAATACCGTTTCTCCAATACCAGGGCCCAGTAATACGGTGACCCTGCAGCCTGCCAATGCAGCACCATACAGGTGTCAAATATGCGAGAGGCCCTATGAGACAAAAAGTGGCCTCAACAAACATCTCCTAACATGTGGCAAGCGCGATCGAACTAAATGCCAATATTGCAAAGCAGGTTTTACTACATACACAGGGGTGCGGCTTCACGAGCAGAGGGCACACCCCGAAGCAGAAAACGACAGCAGGAGGAGGGAACTACGAAGGCCTGATTCCGAAATCTATGATATACTGGCAAACATCGAGATCCAGTCACATAAAGGCCCCTTTATGGCGAAAATGGTTGCCGAATCAGGTCTGACGAAGGACCAAATACGGCATCGAAGGGATAAACCCATCTATAAGCAATACCTCGATGCCGCTAGGAAGAAACAGCAACCAATCCCTTCTCCCAGTGTGCCCTGTGAGCCGCCCACCTGCCCAACGAACGAGAAGATCGACCATCAGGCAGCGACATCGACGCCACCAACAGCTCGCGACGATGTAAAAGAGGGTGAGTGCTCCTCCGCGGTTGCGTCCGCACTATCGCCAATCACTCCAGATCCGATGACAAGCAGGAAGAGGATTCGGAATGAATCGATGTCGCCTCTGTCGCAGCCTACAGTAAGGAGACCCCGCACCGATGCAGTCAACCTCACCGCCAACTCCCCCGCACAGGTCGAACAAACCCAGGTGGTCATTGAACCAGCGCTGCGCGAATACCTCGCGTCTGAACGCGAAGCAGCGCTGGCCAATGGGAACGGCCATCTGGCGGACCTGTGCCAGGCAGGATCATCGCTTGCGGTTAATGATCTTGCCTCCTATCTAGACAATTGGATAATAGAAGATTTCCAAAAAGGGGGAAGGAAATACAACCCAAATGGTCACAGAGGTGGACCAAAATCAAATTACGGAGGTACTAGACCAGGAAGAGGTCCACGGGTAGAATCATACAAAAAGGCCCAGGATCTCTACCTCCGTAACAGATCAGCTCTAGTGGATAAAATCATTTCAGGAACTCCACTAGACTCTACTGAAGAGGTACCACCTCTAAAAGCGGTTGAGGAGCTGTATAGCGGGATCTTCGAGCGGGCTGCGACGGAGACGATGACGGTTCATCCCGAACCACGAAACACCGATGCCACCACTTTCGCTCCATTCGAAGAAAGCGAACTAGAGGCAGCCAAAACAGCATGGGCTAACTCAGCACCTGGTGCTGACGGAATAACGGTGGCATCGGTTAAAAATACGAACAACAGGGTGCTATGTGTTTTATATTCAATAATCCTTATGAGAAACGTGCACCCTGCCATCTTCCTGCGGTCTAGGACCACAATTATATATAAAGACGGCCAACGGAGCGAGGCGGCGAATTGGAGGCCCCTTACTATCGGGAGTGCCCTCCAGCGACTGATGCACAGGGCGATGGCTAACCGCTTGCGGAAGGTCGTCGCCCTGGAAGCCAATCAACGCGGATTTAGTACGCTGGACGGCACTCTCGCGAATTGTATGATTTTACACTCATACATTCGAAATAGGGTGTCCTCCAATAAAGAGTACGCGGTCGCTTCACTCGATTTGCGGAAGGCCTTTGACACTGTTGGACATGGGAGCGTTGTGGGAGCTCTCAGACGGTTTGGGGTGGACGAGCGTTCCATACGTTACGTTGCGACAAACTTGGCAACCTCTGTGACACAGATTCGGGTGGGGCAGGAAACGACGAGGGACATTGGGTTTAGCTGCGGTGTAAAGCAAGGGGATCCGCTAAGTCCGCTACTTTTCAATCTAGTGATTGATGAGCTTCTGGCCGGGCTTAATAATGGGGAGCGAGGCGGAACAATATTGCCTGGGGTGAGGGTGTCTGCCATGGCGTTTGCGGACGACATAGTCTTGCTCGAGGATCAGGAGGAGAATATCCCTCTGGTCCTCGATGAGATTGTTGAGTTCGCGAAGTCCAAGGGCATGGCACTAAACCCTAAAAAGTGCTCAGCCATGGTCGTGGGATTGGCGAGGGGTGTCCTGGCGCCTAGGAAAGATTACAAACTTACGATTGATGGACGCCGCGTGGCCATGGTGACGGAGGTCAACAGCTTCCGTTATCTTGGCCATGAAGCGTCCGTCAAAGGACTAATGCGCCCTTCCCTCGCTAATCTACCGACCTGGCTGGCCAATCTTAAGAGATCCCCTCTTAAGCCGGACCAGAAGTTCGCAATCCTCAAAAATCACATTATCCCTAAGCTATTCTATGGCCTGCAAAACCCAAAGG